ACGGAAGTGCTATTTCACTGAGACCTACATTTACCGACGCCCTATTGAAAATCCGGTCCTAATCTTTAATTTCTATGCTCTATGACCCGTTTATTCTTACGTGAGACGTCTGCCTCTCTTTCTTACCGACCGAGATGCTTTACACTCTTTGTCAAATGGCACGAAACTGTTAGCATGGACGAATCATATTTCAAAAATTGTTCTAACGATTAAACTCCTCTTATACAACTGAAATAATATCGCTTATATTAATTATTATTATTATTATACAATAATATTAATATTATTAATGAAATTCTTGTGTAACGAGACTCTCAATTTTACAAATGAATTTTCGTAACATGTAAAATCACGTTCGTTCTACTAATCGTAGATTTCGATCTACAATTCATTAATATTATTAATATTATGTTTAAATCAATGCGCACGAGAGATTACAGTCACGTGTGATAGATTGTTGAGTAAAGGTTACCAAGCGGAGCTTCACAAATAGATGACGTTCTCACATTCACCCTTTTCTGGGTTGAAAACAAGTATCATAGTTAGTCATAAAATACGTGTCTCTGACAGCCGTTAAAATAATTTGTTAACATATCCTGTATCATCTTCATTCAACCGATGCTGGATATTATTACAGCGGAGCATGTTACCACGATATTCACGGGAAATTTACAAATATTAAAATATAAATGAAATTCAATATAATTGAATCACATCGAAAATTATTTTAGCCCGGTCGGTCCGCTTTAAATTTATGCAGCACTAAGGTCCAATATGATATAAAATTACCATTCAAATATACGTGCATTTTTAGACAGTGATCTTCTCCATTGGCAGATCATATTTAATATTGCCGTCAATTTTTCCCCCGTTTATGCGCTCTGATTAAATGCCCCTTTACCAGAACTTAATACTTTTTTCCTTTCAAGTAAACAAGTCGCTAAATGTCATTTCACGGAGAGAGACACGGAGGGAAAGGTCACGTAGCAGGTCTTTAAAGCAAACAAATTTAGTTGAAATCAACCGAATCCTTGAACCACGTGAATGATTTTCATTCGAGTCCTTCCTATCCTGGTTACATTCTCCGATAATTATCTCTCCTCGTCCCTTGTAATTTTTACACCGATCATTTTTAATCATATCCTCGCAGCGAAATGGATATTTGACTTGAGATAATAATAGAGAGAAAATTGATGGAAAAATATTTTTTCACAGGTGGTGAACGTATAACCGGCTGATGGGAGAGGCGAGGAGAACTGGCCGGCAGCAAGTGCACAAACACTGACAGGGTAACAAACAGAATACGAGAAACGAGAAGAGGAAAAGAGAGAGAGAGAGAGAGAGAAATAGAAACAGACGGAAAACAGTTGGCACACATACATTTCGAGGAAATGAATGGACGCGGTAACTACGAGAGCATCCCATCAAGAAGGAACTTGGACTGATTCTAGACATTAAATGTACCCACAGGAATTCAGGTTTCGCCCGAGGCTCTCGCGAATCTGGGATGGCTTCGAGCAATGATGATATCGGATTAAGCCCGGCTAACAAGTTCGCCGACGTTCTATCGTCCGTAAAAGTAGATAGGTTTTAAATCGAGTCTTGCTCTGGGAACAAGGCAACGTTGTAACGCCGTTACCACGGCGAAATAATCCGAGGCTTATTGAATCCCGATGATATATAATGGAAGTACACGAGCCGAAGCGGTAATAGTTGGTCGTGTGTGGAGCCTGTCTTCTACTACATAACGAAATAGAGGAAAGCAGGGGAGAAGGTCAGCTTTTAGTATATGCTGCATATGTCGTGTGTATGGTTCTGTACATGTCGTTGAAAGAGAGGGCGTGCAAAGAGTAGAATTAACACAATAGTAGTCCTCTCTTAATTTCCATTCAGGTGGAAACTTGGTTTTATAGAGAACTCTCTCCGAAAATGTAAATGTGTATATATACGTACATATATACCAATATAACTGACGAAGAGAAATTGAGAGAAAGAGAGAGAGAGAGAGAGAGAGAGAGAGAGA